CTGAAGCTGCCAAAATGAAGAAAGTTACACTTGCTTATATTGAAGGGCATAAGCCAGCACTTCGAACAGTCTTCGAGTCTGTTCACGTTTGCTTGCATGTGGTCTGCGTCTGCCGCATTGTGAATAAATTTCCACAATTTTATGTCGTCGGCAAAACAGGACGGCATCACAGTCTAGGTCATTGACGCAGTCAATTATAAAAACGAGAAATAACGTGGGACCTACGACTGAGCCCTGTGGGACGCCACTCACCACGCTAACATCTGAGGACTGAAGACGTCCGACCTGCACTTTTTTGGGACCTTCCAGCCAAAAGCTCTGGATCCATACAAAAAGGCGTCAGTTTGTACAAGAGACGTTGGTGAGGAACGCTGTCAAGAGCCTTTTTGAAGTCGATGGAGATGCCCTTATCCCGTGCTTTGGTACAGCGTTCAAGCGTAAAGAGTAGATTCGTGAGGCAGGACCTACCACTTCGAAAGCCGTGTTGGGCGTCGGAAAAGAGATGGTGCTGCTCGAGGAACTGCAAAAGGCCTTCTTTATGATCTTCTCCATGATTTTGCAACAGATGGATCAGTAGAGTTATAAACTAATTGTCATGCGGTTGTAAATGTTTCAAACAAACTGGTTGTTGAACTCCTCTCTTTTCGTTCGCCCACTGAAACCGCCCTTAGCATATGATGATATTGTTGACAAAAGATAAAAGCAAACACCGAAACAAGGGTGTTTTTCTCATGACGTTTCGGATGCACGTACGAACTTATCTTCCTAAACAGTAAAAAATACAGTTCTAAAGCCATACTAATTTAAACATACAAAAATTGACATATTTCAGGTAGCATAACGACATGAATTTGCGTGAAAATATCTAGGTGTCTTAAACTTCGCGGTAATGCTCATTCTGCCTTGTGGGCAGTTGATCGGTCGTTCTCAAATCGTTCACGTCGCTGACAGGCAGTCGGCGGAGGTAACGGTTGAAACCGCTGCCCCACAAGGCTCCGTTCTTGACAGTACCCTATTCATTATATACGCCAGTGTCTGCGTCCATTAACTGAATTTTGACGTGGCTATGTTCGCTGATGATGTTAGACCCTGGAGCGTCATCCGAACTGAAGTTGACGAAGAGCGCTTGCAGGCAGACCTGACCGAACTCGAGGAATGGTCACATGACTGGCTTTTGCCGTTTCATATGACTAAGTGCAATGTCTTGCGAGTCTGGGGGTTTACCACCTAAGCTACATACCATTGCAGGAGGCAGAATCCCTGAAAGTCTTGGGTTCTCCAAAACCGTCGCTCCACTGCTCCAAGGTAGTTAAGTCCGCGATCTCAGTCCGTTATCGTGTCAAGAGAGTTTTCTCTACCTTTGATGAGAACTGCTTCGTTAAAGTATTTCGGACTTTCGTACGGCCACAGATAGGGTTGGCTATTCAGGCGTGGAAACCCTGGACATCTAAAGATCTCAGCATCCTTGCGGAATTTTAAAGGCGGGCAACCAAATTCGTAAGTGGACAGGATTCACTGCCCTATGAAACACGATGGTCCAATCGCGGCCTTTATCCACTGAGTTACAGACAGCTAAGAGGCGACCTTATATAAACAATCCGTATAATGCGTGGTCAGGACTGCTGCCCCCTATCTGCTGATTTCTTTGATTTAGCAGCCACAACGAACCTTCGAGCTCATCCAATTAAACTACGTGTGACCGGCGCCCAGCTAGACATTCGGAAGTTATTCTTTTCAGACAGAATGATCAAGGCTTGGAATGCTCTGCCTGCAGATGTTGTCGTTTCCACCTCCGTCGAGGCTTTTAAGCGCAAGTTGGACCAGCGTATCACTAAAGTTCACAATGTCACCTGACCGACATCGTATAGCATTTCGTTCGAACAGTTTATTAATGGTCTTATATTACTTCCTGCACATGACTATAGTTTGTAATTTATGATTGTCTTAAGTCCGTCGAATGTGATTATTGGCATTTAATTTGTCTCCCTCAGAAACAGAGATGGTACCCACTGCCCATAGACAGACTATTGTGCAAGTCACTTATTAACGTTAATGCTTTTAACTCTTGTAACAATTCGTTTATTTGTCTAGTTTCGAAAACTTTGCGAATCTGAAGCAACTCTGTAGCTGTTTGATGTTTCCATTTTCAAATATTTGATATAGTTTGCTTCCTTGTAACAAATAGGGAGTACAACGTTTCAAAACCTATGTTTCCCTTAAATAAATTGAACTGAAGTAGTTGAGTTAATGACGATTTGAATAATTAAAATTACGGTGTAGCCTGTCGATTAATTATGCTAAGACGAATTGAGTGGAGTCCCAACATACCTACTCATGATCGCATTTGTGTCATTCATTGCAGTAGCCAAATAAAAAAACTTAAAAACAAAATAAGGGAGACGTCCTTGAGCAGGCATTCGCTAAATTTCAATTCTTCGCCTATCATCATGCCGCCGGATGTAGCAAACTAAAGCGGACTTCATTTTTTTCCACTTCCTCAGTCCTTACCGTGAAAGATTGGAGAAGACCCCTCTTTGCATATATTTATGGTTGTGCGTGTCAGAAGCCCTGCGTAAGTATACCCTTCCTGGGTACCGCGCATTACTGAGGAGAACGCACAACATTTATCACAAGATGTTTTCGTCACATGAACGCCGGCAGGTAAACAGGTTCACTAGTGTGAGCTTTTTTTAAAGAGAATGAACACGCAGACGGGCAGGATCTGAATCGCTCCTAGTAGAGGCTGATGTTTTCGTTCGCATTCGTATCGCGCGCGCTTATCAGCGCGTAAAGTGAGAAAAACAAAGTCGTCTACGGTCTAATTCACGTAGCATGAGGCAAATAACCTGGACCTTTGCGACGTACATATCACCTAACTTACACCCACATCTTTTAATTGATCCATGCAAAACCGTAACTGAGAATATCCATCTTTCTTCCCGAAAGCGTTAAAGCATTTTAACATAAAATGCTCCAAATAAATCTCTAGCTTGTCGCACAAACTCTATATTTATAAGACAGCCTGACAAGCAATGTAGCCGAGAAAAAGGAAATCAATGCTAGGAAATGTGAAGGAGGGGACTTACGTGGAATATACACTAAACACCACCGTAACGATTAGATCTGCAAAGGTACTCTTATGAAGACATTTATTTATGCCGACGAAACCACGGACAAAGTAAGTATAATTATTTGTCAATCTTTTAAGAAGCACTGTTGGCTGAAGGTCATGCTTCTCTTGCACCTAGCGCAATCTTTCTTCCTCTCACAAGACATAAGGCATGCACAATTATTAAGGAAAAGTATATGCATTAGGGAGATCAGGTGACAGGAACCACAAAAATCCCACCTAGGTGTTTCACCATACACCCTGTCAAAAACGTGTAGCGGTAATGATTTTGCACAAAAAACATATAGAAGGCGTCTATGATCCCAGTGGATGGGGGTGTCAGAGAGGCCAAATTAAAAGTGTCTATTTTAGTCTGCCTCTCAGGTTATCAGTTAGTTAGTCGACACAAACACACGCGTGACCGACTTCGAGGTCTGAGAATTCCCGTTATTTCTTAGACTCAAGAGGATGCGTTTGAGAAACATGCGCTAAGGCCATCGACCACACAGTCTCTGCTCCGCTACCAGAGAGCAAACTTACGTACCTGCAGGCAGATGTCTGATATCGAAATTGGGCATGGTTGTTCACAGAGCCAGGAAAGCCGTCTGCGTAAGAAGCCTACGTCCTGATCCCCGTGCGCCCGCAAACCCGCATTTCGTACAGAATCGTGTAGTACGTTTGGATCTCACGTGTAGCAGAGAAGCCGCAAAGGGGAAGGATCCGAAGAGCATACTTTATATTTACGTGTTGGAGTGATGGATATGCCGGTCAGATAGTGGATGTCAAAAGTGGAACACACACAACCACATCTGGTGGGTTTTGGTTCCCGAGATGAGCACAAGTGAATTATTTGTGACTTGAACCTATATATTGTGTCCCCACTTTTTCAGCAGTGCGAGACGAGTGAAGGGGCTTGCTTGGTGAACAACATTCAAGTGAGGCCATATATTCTGCAAAGGATTGCTTAGAAACCAAGGTGCGGTCGAAAACATGAAGTTTTGATCACAAGAAGAGGCGATCGCTGGAACAGGGACTTTATTCGCCTGACGTTTCCGATTCTCACTTGAATTCATCTTCAGATACAGTAGCAGAAAAGGGTGACTCGTGCGCAGGACGTTGGAGTATTTATAGGATGCATTCGCTATGCTACCGCATACCTACAGCAATTAACCGCGCTCCCTTTCATGAAGGATCGTTGCCCGATGTTGCGCTAAGTGCTTGCTAGACGGCATGCAAGTTGTTTATTGCCGAAATGTCATCACCCGTGTTGGATGCTGGCGTGATGATTGCTCCGCCATCTGGCTCACCGGCTTGCGCGCGCCCCGAGTGGTCAATTACCTTGACCAGCTTATACCTCATCACGGAGTATAGAGAGGGCATGTCGCTGCACTTGTTGATTGATTGAGGTCCCGTAAACCATGACTCAAGCAACTCGCGGCTTACACGAATGTATCTTCCACATACCGAGCCCAGAATCTCGGTCTGTGGTGTTGGAAGACGAGCTACTTCAACCGCTGTAGAACCGCCTCGGTGATGAATCCCGAGTTCGGCGAACCCATTGGTGTTCCCTGCACTTGCTCGTAGATTGTTCCGTCATACGTGAAGTACGTCTGGAGACAGAACTTTGGGAGCTGAAGGACTTGGGCATGCCTGAGACGATTCTCAGTTTCGTTGTACTTGTTTCGTAGGAGTAGCTGGACGGTCTCGATTGCCAGATCCTGGGGGATAGAAGTAAATAAGGACGTGACATCAAAAGATACCATGACCTCATTTGGCAAGAGACTTACTCCTTTAAGCTTCTCCAGGAATTGTGTCGACGAACAGATGGTGGTGTCCAAATCAGAGGTCAGAAATGTGAGGCGTCGAAACCTCCATCTTGCCAGTCCGTGCGTTAGAGTGCGTTTGAGGGATAAATGGGCCTGAGAGGAACGCCCTCCTTGTGCATCTTGGGGAGACCATACAAACGGGCAAAGGCCGTTTTTTGCGCACTCGCCATGCGTCTGTCGGTCGGTATTTTGGCTCCCGAGTTCTCCAGTGCCAACAATGTCGCTTTGATTTCGCGTGTCAGGGTCTTTACGGGGTTGGTTTCAAATGGGACATAGAACTGGCGATCCTCCAGTAGGTTTTTGGCCTTCTGAAGGTAGTCTTTTCTGTCCAGTACGACGGTGGGACGCCCATTGTCCGCGGGCACGATGACGATGTCCTTGTCGGCCTTGAGTTCTCTTAGTGCATCGCGTTCGACCTTCGGGAGTATTTCGCGCGGCTTGTGAGTCATAAGGAGGGACGACACTTGGTGTCGGATAAGGTTCTTCGTCTCCTCCAACGTTTTCGTCAGATTAATGACCGATTCCAATGCTGCAATCATGTTGACAAGTTTGGCGTCAGCTGTGTTGAATGAGGTTTCGTGCCGTAAAACCTGTACTTGATTCATCGTCAGTTCCTTTGAGGACAGGTTGTGTACCAGTGTGCCGCCTCTGGATGACGGTGGTGATGACATTTCGGTAATTAACAACCTGCATGCCAGCCAGCAAGCAATTAGCGCACCAGCGGGCAACGATCCTTCATGAAAGGGGAGTGCGGTTAATTGCTATAGGTATGCGGTAGCATAGCGACTGCATCCTATAAATACTCTAACGTCCTGTGCACGAGTCACCCTTTTCTGCTACTGTATCTGAAGATGGATTCAAGTGAGAATCCGAAACGTCAGGCGAATGAAGACCTTGTTCCAGCGATCGCTTTTTCTTCTAATCAACTAGTTCCTGGAACTCGCATCTTCACTTGTATCGGTAATATGAAGTTTAACCCATTCTATAGTGCGCGTTAATTGCGTTTTGAGAAGAAATGTCTTCTGAGTCATCCTTCGTGATTTGGCATCTCCTTTAATGACAGAGACGCCCGTTGATGTAACTGCTGTTCATCTTAATGGACGCTCAGTTTACTTAACACATCGAACTATAACTAAATTGTATTTCATTTTATAACATGTTTCATATATTTTCCTGCGTATGTTGATAATATAATTTTATAGATAATCAGTATGCAAATTTGTTACATAAATGCACTTCTTATATCGGTCAGGCGACCAGCTTAGCCTTCATATTTTATCAACTCATCGAATATTTACGAGATACTGCAATTTTGTGCAGATTTTGGTTGACTGCATTTCCGGATCAACGTGATTAGAGTAAAACGGTGCAAACGGGCACCTTATGTCTTTTTTAGTTACTCACACCGCACGATAATCTCAGAAAAGTAAATAAGTTGTCTTGTGCACTCTGTCATACAGGCGTATATTTTCGTCCGCTCGAGGGGCGAAACGTGTGAAATTATATTTTTTACCCGGCTGACTCTGTTTTATCCTTACTAATTATTTCTCCATGTGACTTTCAAAGGCAAGGAGATGCGGCTTTTAGAACGTAAATTGTTTTGATGCAGTCCATGAGGCATGTTAGATTAGCACTTTTTAAATCGCCTTTATTATCTAAGACCCTCAGTCTTCTAGAACATCCGGCCTTTTCTCGTGGTAGTCGTGGAATGGCATTTTCTGTCAACGAATGCTACGGGGGTTTGTGAGTGTACGGCCGGCCACTGAAGGAGTTCCAAGCGTGCTCAAAGAATTTATTCGTGCTCGCTATTTCACTTAAGTTTCAAAGGCCATCTGATTTTATCTGTGCCTTTCACGGCGGATTTGGGCAACGGTTTTCTATGTGGTTACATCTTCCTTTTGCCTTAGCTGGTGAATTTACTCCGCTTTAGCTTCCCAAAGGCAAATTAGCGCCGTTGCACTTTTGATCTTGCGCTTAATCCTATTTCGGCGCACGTTACGTTTCACTGGATTCTGTATTTGATGGTGGATCCCGTGTACGGTGGATGGTATATTGGCAACCTAAGGAGTTATACTATCAATTGTAACACATATTAGGTTCAGGGTTACTTTGCTGCCTATGACAAACCCGTCCCTCAACATAAATTTCAGATTTTTCCTATTAACGGTTCACCTCATAGACCAGGTCTGTAGAATTCCATTTTCAAACCTGTGCATACGGCCTTTCCTCACTCTTGTGCCTTCTGATAAACATGTTCTCTCAGCTGGGCAATTGATGATCCAGTTGTTGGGTAACTGGGAGCTCCGATTTTGTACACGTCAATTGAACAGCAAGGTGTCAGCCTAAAATGATGTGTTCATAGCCGCTAAATCACTTTTGTAAGTTGATATGTGGACAAAAATAGTGTTACACTCCTTTATTTTAATGTTATCACGAAAGTATTAACTATGCGTCCTGTTATACTGCTAGGTATGAAAAGTAATGTTGAAGGATTTTTCGGATTACTCACCTATGTTACAATGTTTGAGGAGTGAAGTGTTATTTTTTGTCTTTCGCCGACAAAAATCTCTGTCGGATAACGTAGTCTGGAAGAACTTCTCAACATTGCATTTATGATATTAGGGGTGTATAAAGCAAGTTAGGAAACCTCAAGCCACACTTATAATGCGTCGGTCGTTTGTTTAAACAACGGTTAGCACAGCCCATATTGAATACGTGACTTCGTTAGCGCTGGAGGTATAATAGTGGTATCTTTGACGGTTTCATAGTTTCACATCCACATGGACGGCAAAATTACACAAGCATTTCCATTTCGTCGTCAGTTTACGGCAAATATACCAGTATTCGGTCACGCTGCGAAATGTCGGTCATCTTCCGATGCCTAACGGTGGTACGCTCATAAGATGCTGAGTAGTGTATTACGAGAATCAGTGTTCAACCCCCGGGTATTATTTAACTGTCGACTATCAATGTGTGCTATATTTATGCAATGAAGTGTCTTATAGATCTACGCTCAGTATCTTCATTTTACTAACCGCCTCGAACAGAACCGTTACCTAGCCGCATTTGCCACCTTTTAGCTGATACGTTAAGTCTTCGACGTATCATAGTATAGGGCGGTTACAATCATTACATCATTCTGACGTTCGTCGATAATGCTCAGGCGTTTAGAGCTTCAAACTGTCGACTTGCAATAAACTGTAGTGTGAAGTCATAGTTTAGGACGACCGCGACACCATAATCGGACGTGTCCGCATTGACATGGTCTTCGTGTTATCTTATTTGACACTGTGTGACAATCTGCTGACCAAATGTTTTTGGACGTAATTGCTTTGACGTTGACTCTTGACTGAAGAACCAGATAATAAGTGTGCGTACTTACTAATTAGGCGGACAGGTGATTGTTTTTACATATGTCGTTTGGCATCAACAAATTATTCAATTCTGAACGTCTCCCTGAATCCGGTGAATACCATGCATGGTTTATCAGACATTATTTTTAATGCCAAATGATGACAAAGAACAAGGATGTAAAATGCGGAGCACAACATAATTCTATTAACACCTTTCAAAAACATTCGCCCTTCCACACTACTGTTTTGCCTACTACCAAAGAGAGTTTAGTTGAACATTTTAAGCCTCTAAGGAAGTCTATTAGAAGAAAATAACACCCACATTGGCATAGGCCTTGGATACATGTTAAGGCATGGTAAACAGACGATGCCCCAACCTGTCTGGGGCATGTTCACGTCATTATTGAGACCCGTACCATTTGTGCTACTTCATCGACCGTCAACTGTATGCGTCTACAAGTAATTAATATCAACGAAAACCTTCATTACTATTATATATGAATAACATGGCACCCATTCCCCGGAGATCAATAATAATCGCATAGCAGAGCATAAATACACGACATAAATTGCGTGTATACATGAAGGGCGGAGGAATTCAGGCATATTGGAACGACGCTTTATAACACGTTAGCAGTAGCTGGTAGTCCGAGAAGGTCACATTGTGAGATAGCTGCACGAAATAAGACTAGTTTGCAAGAAACAGGAAGCGCTGCGACAAGAAGATAGTTCCCTCTAAGCTATGACGGTGGAGGACTCATGATACAGGCCTTGAAAGTTTAGCGCAGTAGACCACGCATTTCAGCATGGCATTTACTAATGCTTTGGGCGACAGTATCGCAGCACTCAAGCCATCCACCACGAGACTTCAACAGCTTTTGCATAGATTACGTATTTCGAAACCTATCTAACCATTATAATATATGATTATCCGGTTTTGCTTGTTTGGCCATTGCAAGATTCTCAAACATTATACATTGTCTATAAAACGGTGTTTTCGTTTAACGCCAGATGGTTGGCAATAGCGCAAAAAAGAGGCAAGTCAAATTTACATTCTGTTGTTTATGACATAGTGAAATAGCAAATCCCCACAACCACGCATTATGGTTAACTTCGTAAACACGAATCCAAAGCATATATCAAATTGTAAGAACTGATGGCAGTTCTAGTTCAACTTGAAAGCGTTCACGTAATCGATGAACGTCAGCATTCTCATCATCACACTGGTGTCATTGGACGGATTTATCAAAATCCGCGAAATAGGGACGTTTTGACACTTTACTTCCATCCTTCGTGGCATGGTTGCCAAATGTCCCGTAATAATTATAGCTTTTTCACGCAGCACTCCTGCAAACGCAAAAAAAGTATGTGCTAATATGTGGTTAATATGAGACCCTAATTTAAAATCGGCTGTTATGTAATGATTTAATATTCTCATTTGCAGAATCATTGTCGTACCGCGCCTTGATATGGTTGATAGTTCTTGTAGAATCATGCCGCTACCGGCCAAGTCCCCGACGGCAGTTATGTTCTAAAAAGTTAAAACCGAATAACTTTGGTCATACTGTTGGAAACGTTATTTTTTTATCACAATCTTGGGAATAAAATGCTAGAGCTCCTTGAGTCATTTATTTAAACGAAATACACGGACTTCGTCTACCGATTCAGCATGAAAATATTGAATACGAAAATAGTAATAATAGCCGACTACTGTTAGTTCGTTTGTCAACAGGTCATGAACGGAATACTGTCTATCTTAAATATCACGCAACTTTAGATTGCACATATTTAGTTTGCACCTCTCCTATTAAATGCGCAGATCGTGCCATTTCGTAATAACACTAGGAAGGCTTACAATGCACCATCAACCATTTACAAAACACACTGCACGCATTATTCTCTTCTTAATACGAAGTATTGAATGAGCCCTTTGCTTGTGATTTTTGATGCAAATTTAGGCAGTTTTCGGTTATTTACCCCAATATCCGCATTAAACAATACGACATCCAAGAAGTGTTCATTCTTATGGACTTCCTTTACAATGACAAATCCTGTTTCCACGTTCAGCACTGGAGCTATAGGAAATAGGGTAAATGCAGAAGATTTGTAAAGAAGATTAGAATTCTATCAAAGTAAAAAAAAAGAAAATCTGTCCGTACTTCCATGTAAAACCTTGTTTGTTATTGCTCACCAGGGAGCACAAATGTCCTGTCGATTGCGGTCTAGCCGCTGGACGAAATAAAAAACCTGCCATGACAATTGACAAATTTAGCCAATATGTGCTATGAGACGTCAAAAATAAAATCCCAAAAGCGTCAATGGGTAAATAAATATTTGGAGGAAATAATTCAACAACTTACAGTCTGTCGCGCCATAGGTTTTGTACTGAAATGTAATAGGACTCCTGTTGTTTGAGTCCATGGGTTTCACTACAAATGCTGCATGTTCTCGTATCATGCGGCCTTCAGCGAGCAACACTCGTTTGGCTTTTGGAGAAAAATTTTATATCAGCTGTAGAGATGTGAATAATTAAATAGATGAAAAATGTTCGTTGCATTTGATTAGGGAAGCCTTTAAATGCATAGTAAATATGCATACATGTCAGAAGCTAACACGGGAAGATATAACAAACGGTCTGAAGAACTACCCGACGGGAAAGCGCAGATGCATAGATTCATTCGTACCTTCATTAAGTCAACTATTATGGTAATATACTTATCATGCTTCCTTGAACATGTACGTTAACATTAGGCGACACAAATCACATACAGTTACATCTTACATTCAACAATTTCCCAGCAGTCATTTGGCGGAACACAGTGTGAACCTTGTGCCGGACCCGAAATGTTAACGCCGTCCACGGCCGTGTACTGAAAAGGCAACATCTACGTTAGTTCACTTGATTTTGAAGATGTCATCACTCGTATTAGACAATAAGTACCATGTAGTCGCAATCAACCAATGTGGCGAAGACATAGTCACTGTTCTCTTTAACTGTAAATTCGGACCTAGCACCTGTAATGAAAGGCATAATACGTAACAGTTTTCCTTAGTCGATCGTGCAGAAAATATACAACTGGGATTGAACAATGCGAGTTTCAAAAACATTTACCTTGCCCAAGTGTGCCACATGCCAGTATCAGATAGAGTAATTGGCGAAACATTTCCAGACCAAAGCACACAGAAGAAGGCATAAAATGCTCCTTATATGTAGACCCTGTAAACCAATGATCGCGCAAATATCCAATCCACTTAACGCACACGGCCTATCCAAGAAAGTGACAGCTTAGGGAGGTCAAAAGCTATTTGGGCTCGTGAATATGCGTCTGCGTTAAGAATCTAAGAAAGGAGGTTTTAAACTTAGTTGTGGAAGATGGGCTTCATATATGCAAATAGAGCAAGTTATTGAAGATAATTGCTCGGATGCTTATGGACGTATCTTCAGGCATATTCACATTTCGCCATAAACATGCTTTCACCATGTCTCTCTGAATAAAGGACGACTTTTTTATCCTGCATGTATGCTTCACTCAAATAGATGTGCTAATATATAAAAATATTAACCGAAATTCCGAAATGCGCTCTGAACTCGAAAAAGCTACTTCAGTGGAGGTGTAATCATTTAAAATTCTCGCATGATAAGTCACTTTTATCAGGATGCCAGCTTTCAATTTAATTCTTTCCGGTGGCCTTAAAATCCGCGACCTGTAAAAGATTACTTAATAAGTATGATTTCGTTTTTGATTCTGGATGCCATTAGAAATTATTATAAAGCTAATAGAACATTTGCATATATATTTTCATTATTTCGCATATTAGAAAAAGTGTGTTGCCTTTTGGCATTGCTTTAGAAAAGTACCCAGACCATGTACCACTTACAGTTTTGAAACTCCGAGTGCAATCGCAACAAAGTGTTTGTTTCAATATTAGCCGGAAATCAGGAAGGCATTTATAACCGAATTTTCTTCCAAACAGGCGAACAAATAACTATTTTATGCATTTTTTAAAAATACGTTTGAAATTTTGTCGACATGGAAAATCAACGATAAAAATGCATGGTCCTTATGCAGTGATGCTACAGAATGTAATTTTTGCAATGTAAAGTCTTCATTTTAAATCTGTCATCCTAGAGAAACAGCCTGTTGATCGGTTGATGTTGCACGACGATCAATGTTACAACCATTTTAAGTAATCTGCTTGCATGAAATTTTATTGAACATTTAGGGTAGATTAACAAATTCGTCAGTGTAAACACCGTCCGTCCTTTGAAGACAGAACTGGTAAATTTATTTTCGAATTAACATGGGAGAGCAAATGTGCTCCAGTCAAGTTCTCTCTTAACACCCTTTTAAATATTTGTTTAATATTACTTTCTAAAATAGATAATAAATGTTTCTGCAAACTTGAATTTCACTTATGAATGGAGCATTTCGGATTGTCTTGACAGCTGAATGCAAAACAAAATATTAATAACTATGTATGGCTAAGACAACTGCCCAGTAAGTTAACATAATTTTGACACCGCTCTTGATCTTCCATGTGGGATGCATTTGTACATTATATATGCGCTGCTTTTCCGAATCGCAAAAACCGACTGGAGTATTCTGATGCGATGAACATCATTAGACGCGTAAATAGACACTGCATTATTAGTATAGAATTGTTACACGCACTGCATATAAATATATGCCGACATTTATGACAATTTTGGACTTCGCAAAGACAACAAGCTTAAACACCGATATCGTTGCTTTTATATATTGGTCGTCTATAGTTCGCAGTTGGACTTTTATGTCGTACATGCTTCATTATAATAATGGTAGAACTCCATTGATTGCCTTCAGCCCTATCCCTGGTGCCATTTGTGTTCCAAATATGCACCGAAAACTCAAAACGGGTATGGATTTTTCGAAATTCGTCAGTTATCTTTTTATTCTTAAACATGATCAACGAGCATAATTTTCGACAGTAATATATACAAACAATACGTGACATGCGACTACAATGGCGACAATTACTCTACGTACAGCCCACAAATAATATCTGATATGATATTCGAGCCGTCGCTTTGTGCATCAGCAGCCCGGTATAATGCATAGTTCACATAATGCGACTGGTAGGAAATGTTTAGGATTTTGGCCCGACGGTCTATGTTACCACAATTTTAGGATTTAAATTAAAAGTCCTCTGGCAAACCTCACCCATCGAGTTAGCCCGCAGGGCAGAATACGAAGCGCATCTGACAAAGGACTATTTAGCGAAGATTAGGATATGATGTGCTCAGTACAGAGTGGATATTTTCAAATTAACCTCACAACAAAGTTTATGGTAACAACAATAACCCACTTTCACGATAGTGGGAGTGAGGTTATACGTTCACTTTTTAGGAAGTGAATTCCCTGCCAATAGCAGCGCAGAGACGAGTCCCTGGAAACAGTCTTGAAGAAGAAGACACGATCGCCGGGACAAGAGCTTTATAAGCCTGACGTTTCGGTTTCCTGCTGGAATCCATCATTAGAGACAAAAGCAGATAAGGGGGGTTCATGCATATGCGGCTGCAGTATTTATAGGATGCAGTAGCCATGCTATCGCATACCTATGAATATTCACGGCTCCCCAGACTGGAGGCAACTATCAGGCGTCAGTTACTGAAACCAAAAGACCCATTGGCACGGCAGAAAACGTTTGGAGTCGTTTATCGAGACTGATGTAGCTGCGGACAAAGCAACTACGCCGGAGAAACTTAAAAACAGCTCTGAAAGCAAATGGCCGAACACGCTGCAGTGGTGCGGAGAACTGACGCCAGCTCTCAAGTTGTGACTCATTCGACGGGTTCCGGACACACATTCAAATTTGACGAGGCTGAAATTATCGTAAGAGGTGACAACTGCGTGAGTTGGAGCTGCTTGGGCCGTGGTTGACTGGCCCTCAGTCTATTTTCATGTGCAATGATCTTCGCATTCAACACACCGTGCTGATAGATCGTCTAGGAGGAGTAATTGGCCAGGTGGGGAGCGAACAGGTGAACACTCTTCCAACCACCCGGGTCATCGCGTTATCGAACATGGGTTTTTCAACAGTAACATGCACAAATAATACGTGAGATGCGACTCCATTGGCGACAATTACTCTACGTACAGCCCACAAATAATATCTGATATGATATTCGAGCCGTCGCTTTGTGCATCAACAGCCTGATATAGCATACAGTTCACAGACTGCGGCTGAATGGAAATACACAGGATATTGGCCCGACGGTCTACGTAACCAAAAGTTTAGGATTTAAATCAAAAGTCTTCTGGCAAAGCTCACCCAACGAGTTAGCCCGCGTGGCAAAATACGAAGCGCATCTGACAAAGGACTATTTAGCGAAGATTAGGATATGATGTGCTCAGTACAGAGTGGATATTTTCAAATTAACCCCACAACACGGTTTATGTTAACAACAATAGTCTACTGGGACGATAGTGGAAGTCAGGACATGCGTTCAGAATTTAGAAAGTCAATTCCCTGTTGCTAGCGGTAGTTTAACAAACAAGAAAATAATTAGCTACACAGTTCACCTGCGTTTATGGTGAACCAGCGTGCACAGACTCGGTTAAAAAGATTATTGATTAAGCATTGCCTGCCTTGAAGTCAGCTGCTCGCTCGGGACTCAAACTCTATTGTTGGCAGTTTGTTAGGGCCGCCTTCGCTTGCAGGCCCTGTTTTCCTAAATATTCATATTACGCGTTAATCAGCTGACAAAATGTTGACAACAGAATTAAGTAGTGCAATGAGAACAAACCAATCAGCATGTCCTAATTCCTTGAGAAGCATTATACTTGCCTTCCGTGCAAGAAAAGCAACAGGGCTGAGACTACGCGTACGCTTACTCATCCAAGCATAATTCGCACCATCCTACGAATGAGGACGACCACGATTATGCAGGTTTGCAGTGTTTACGTAAGCTGAAGCATGCCGCAGAAATTCACCTACCGAACTACCCACCACGCACGCCTCTTTTGCTCTGCAGCATTGGAACAGGACGGTAGAAATGATTGACTATAAAACTTGCACCTTCGGAAACACAGCCTTTGCAATGCAATCGGGAGCACAGTAATGAGGTTGTGGAGGCCCAAAACATCTCTGAGATACAAAATATACCTATTATATTTATTTAAGGGACTTTTAGTGCGACACGATTATTTCGATTTGATGCTTCACCGGACAAGGGTTTGTCGTCTGCTGATGACATTCTCGTGGATTATCGATTACGAATCCAGAGAAGTGAGGAGAAATAATTTTATAAAATTAATGCTTCTTTGTGTAGTTTAGTTGTTTAATTTCATTTGAAATATATCAATGCTCGAAAAAAATAAGTTTACCAATTATCTGTCCTTATTTTGGTTTTCCGATATTCATACATGCGTACCTCCCGTAAAACCCCTACGTTCACGTTTTCCGTAGGACAGACACCTTTGAGTGGTCATATATCCTTAAAGGCCCTTACCCGATCGTTGTCCTGAACAATGCTATGAAGATTCTCTGAATACCAAATGGGAGTATTTTACCCTTCAATCTAGCCCATCACAAAGGTCTCTTCTTTACTACAGTGTTGGAGCTGGGGAGTGTCGTTAATTCGCAAACACATAAAATGCGTCAAGTTTAAGAGACCAGTAGGAACAGTGGAACTGTACTCCGAATTGGTGATGGGAAATATTAAGTGATTTGAATACAATTAAAAACTTTAAGAATGAATAATTAAAAAACGGCAAAATTGTTGTTAATCTTAAAGCGCAATTTCTATGTGAACAAGAAATAAATGTCAATTACGGCATTTCGGAATCAGCCCACAGCTGACGTATGTCTGCATGTCCTTCTCCTTTTGGACGAAAAGTCAATGTAACAATTGGCATGTGTGCTTTTCTATTTACATCATAAAATGTTTGGCTGCAAACGAAGTAATTCGCATACCCGCATTTATTGGATGCATTCATCACTATATGGAAATACAGTTTTTACACATAATCATCTGCCTTATTTAATTCGGAAGTCGGTCTTAATGGTATCCTGAAAATATTGTCAAATGATGCAGGAAAGGAACATACTTGAATTATTTAACACATCCTTGTATGTATGAGTCATTACTGTATTTCTGATGACGCTCTTTCATGGATATGTA